GATATATTTAGATATATAGAGCTATATATATATATATATATATATATATATATATATATACATAAATAAAAAATATATATATATATATATATATATATATATATATATATATATATATATATATATATATATATATATATATATATATATATATATATATATACATGCTCATCTACTATGTATTAAATATCAATTTTTAACATAAATGTTCATATTTGTCATTCCAGTGGCTAAAAAATATATATAAAAATTATCACCGCTCCGACAAATGGTGAAGTAGCATATCAGGGCGTCCCGAGTTCGAATCCTGGCTCGAGGACATTTCCCTACCCGACCCCTCTAACCTCTCTCTCTATCTCCAAATTTGCTTCCTGTCTAAATACTGTCCTATCTAATAAAGGCCAAAAATAAATCTTAAAAATAAATAAATAAATAAAAGGTCACCAGTCACTTTATTAGATACACCTTACTAGTACCGGGTTGGACCCTCTTTTGCCTTCAGAACTGCCTTAATCCTTCGTGGCATAGATTCAACAAGGTACTGGAAATATCCCTCAGAGATTTTGGTCCATGTTGACATGATAGCATCACATAGCTGCTGCAGATTTGTCGGCTGCACATCCATGATGCCAATCTCCCATTTCATCACATCCCAAAGGTGCTCTATTAAATTGAGATCTGGTAAATTGTAGCCTCAGTTTCGGGTTCTTAGCTGACAAAGTGTGAACACCCCTGACCTACATCACAGGTGTCAAAGCCAGTTTCTAGAGGTCCAGAGCTCTACACAGTTTAGTTCCAACCCTAATTAAACACACCTAATCAAACTAATTGAGTCCTTAAGACTTGTTTAAAACCTACAGGTAAGTGTGTTGAAGCAGGATTGGAACTAAAATGTGCAGGGCTGTGGCCGTCCAGGAACTGGCTTTGACACCTGTGGCCTAGTAAGAGCTTGGTTAGCTAGCCCAGGTTTGTCTGATTAGGGTTGGAACTAAACTTTGCAGGACACCGACCCTCCAGGACTGAGATTGGGCACCCCTGCCCTACGTGTTACAATGTTGTGGTGGTTTATGAGGGCTTGTCTTGTGTCCTCACAAATTAAAACTGTTTAAAATTCATACAGGGTCTTTTCACATTCAACATTTGCTAAAGGGTTTTCCAGAGTCATAGAATAAGCTTTTTTTACAGTATGAAATATATTACGCCTATCAAGAGTCCTCATAAACCACCAAAATCAACAGGTGTGAGAGAGTACTTAAATTAGACAACTCTTCACTTGTGTTCACTTTTATGAACAATAAGTCTTGCAAGTTAATTTAATCTAAGGTAGTTTAACCAATTTTAACTTCATTTAAGTTGTATGACTGAGATTATAGTCATTTTTTACTCAAATTTATTCAAAATCAGCTGTACGACCAATTTTATTTACATATACAGTTGAAGTCAGAATTATTAGCCCCCTTTGAATTTTTTTCTTCTTTTTTAAATATTTCCCAAATTATGTTTAACAGAGCAAGAAAATTTTCACAGTATGTCTGATAATATGTTTTCTTCTGGAGAGAGTCTGATTTGTTTTATTTCGCCTAGAATAAAAGCAGTTTTTGATTTTTTAAACAATATTTTAGGGACAAAATTATTAGCCGCTTTAAGCTCATTTTTTTCTCAATAGTCTACAGAACAAACCATCGTTATACAATAACTTGCCTAATTACCCTAACCTGCCTAGTTACCCTAATTAACCTAGTTAAGCCTTTAAATGTCACTTTAAGCTGTATAGAAGTGTCTTGAAAAACATCTAGTCTAATATTATTTACTGTCATCATGACAAAGATAAAATGAATTCATTATTAGAAATGAGTTATTAAAACTATTATGTTTATAAATGTGCTGTAAAAATCTTCTCTCCGTTAAACACAAATTGGGAAAAAAATAAACAAGCGGTCTAATAATTCAAGGGGGCTAATAATTCTGACTTCAACTGTATATAAAAAAACCTCAAGTAAGTGGAGCGTTTCTATAGCTACAGACAATTTTAAACATCAACATTTGCAGTTCCCTGTATTTTTCTGTCATATTAGTGTTGTGCGTATATAATTAGCGTATTGTGTGCTGTCTGTTCTGAACTGATTAATCAACAACAGCCACTGGTTTGTACCCGGGGTTGTGTGTCATGTGCCTCTGTTTTGTCTGCTGTGAGATTTGGGCCGCTGAATGTGTGCAACAGACTTTAAGCCAGCTAAATGACCTAGTCAGCAGCAGTTTCAGTGCAGCTTTTGTTAAATAGCTCTTTTTATTTGTGTGGGACAACATATTACCGACAGCAGAGCAGACATGGCACTGTTTGTAGGCCATCATTGGACAGAAAGTAGACTTAATATTTTCGTTGTCCTTGAATAATAGCCAATTTCATGTGTCAAGCTAAAAGGTGGCAAATGCCCTTGACTCAATGTGATCAAGTCAAAAATGTTATGAATGTGTCTGTTATTACCATGCAGTTTAGACAAGATAAAGCTGAAAGAGTAATTAAAATGTGATGCTTTGGGATTTATTTAAGACAGTAATATAAGAAAAATGATTTAGAATGTACATAGGTGTTGCTTTTGAAAAAACAGAATGATTGTGCGTCGTATTATACAGCTTTAATGAAATGCTTTGTATGTATAATGACATGTTTTGTTTCTCAGGCCGAAAATGCAAAGTCCCAGGTGTGTGTGTCCTTTGAACTGAAGAGCTCTGCCTCTTGAGCTGTGGACAGGTTCTCATTACCTTGAGTGTTTGTGCACTGGAATAAATCAAAAGACTCTCCATTCCGGCTATTCAGACTCATGTTATATTCAGAGATGCGGATTGTAAGAAGCTGTAGATATTATTAGAGTTTGAAAGTGTGCTTTTTTTTTAAAAGCCACTGCTCTAAAACAAGAGTTTAATTCATTTAGCTTAGCTTAGTTAAACTTATGAAGCACTTTCAAAACAGCTGAGGCTTTGTTCAAGAAAACAAGAGCACTTTAAGATCAAGAAATAGGGCTGCATGGTGGTGCACAGCAAGAAGGTCGCTGGTTCGAGCCTCGGCTGGGTCAGTTGGCGTTTCTGTGTGGAGTTTGCATGTTCACCCTGTGTTCATTTGGGTGTCCTCCGGGTGCTCTGGTTTCCAGAGGGAAGCTTGGGTCATTTTCGTGTCAAAAAATAACTTGCTGGTTAAATAAAAGTAACTTTAAATCAGGATGTGCCTGGGGTATGAATAATTTTGGGCTTGACTGTATATTTAGATCAATACTTGTAAAATCTAAGGAATACAAATGAGTTTCAGGAAGATATTTAAAAAAAATTGGTAAAGGACAAACAATTGAGGACACACCACCAAAAAAGCTGCTTTTCAGCCTCGAATGAAGAATTTTCAATAGGTTTAGTTAACAAGATCCTAAACTTCTAGTGATGCAGACAATCAGGGGTGCGTTTCCCAAACAATGACATAACTTGCAGCTGAACTATCATAGTACGATGGATATTTTAGGAAAAAAAAAATGTAGTGTGAAGTGTTTTCCAAAACATGTAGTTTCTCTGTCGCAGATCCATCGTTTGAACCTTGTTAGATGTAACGTAAAATGCCCATAATGATGCTCTAAACAGGGTGGAGTAACTACTTCTTTAAAGAAAATAATTTTTTGTGCAAATTATATTGTTTTACACACGGGTGCATTTAAAAAAAAAATCCAATATTAGTTTTAGTAAAAACATGCCCTCGCTTTCCATATTAATTAAAATATATGTCAAATACACATATAGGACCAATATGTGTTTCCTTTACAAATATTATTGAGAATATTACATATAAAACCACAAATTAACACGTATTCTGGTTGTAGGCCCTAATTT